TAAGAGCTTGTAGGCAATTAGATGATGTAATTCCAAACTTTGGAAAAGCTGTGTGTGAACACACCGGCCTTCTTCCAACCCCTGTAGACACTGCCACTTCGCCTGACTACTGTTACAGAGCTCTGACACAGATTCCTCCTCCTCTGGGTGCCTGACCAGGTACCGGGATAGTAGGTATATGCCAGGCTCCTCTGGAGAATCAGAAATTGTGGCTTTAGGATGCACAGCAAGACCCATGACCCTTGTGCTGGGATCAGGGGAGCATGTGTTATGACTGAGATCAGCTTGATAGCAGCCCCTCAAGTTATCCATGTCATCACCCCAGAACCTGAGTATATGTCACTACACATGGAAAAAGCAACTAGAAGGTTGTATTAGTCAGCTTTCCATTGCTGGGACAAAATGCTTGACATACACAGCTTAAAGGGGGAAAGATTTATTTTGTATCACAGGTTCAGGGGTTTCAGTCCATGGTCAGTTAGATCTAAGGCAGCAAATCATGGCAGAAGGGCAGAACTGGGGAAAGGAAGCAGAGTTGGGGAAAGAGCCAGATGGGGAAGAGCCAGACACCAAATGTAGTCTCCAAGGTCACAGCCTCCCAAGACCAGCTCCTTTCTACTAGGGCCACCTCCTATGTTCCATGGTTTTCCAGTAATGCCATCAAATGATGACCTCATCAGTGGATTAATAAATTGATGGATTAGAGCTTATGTGTCCCTATCCTTTCTGAAACCACCCACAGACACTCCCAGAAGTGTGCTTTACTAACTTCCTACAAAACTCATCACTTCCTTCCACGATGGGCTATTTTAGCAGTATCTTTCTCCGTCCAATCAAGTTGACACCCCAAATTAACCATTCCAAGTGTGTAATGAAAGTCCTCGGAATGGGAGATTGTCCTTTGTTACTTAGGTGGGCTGCGCGTCCCAGGGTCTTCGTAAGAGGAAGTTGAAGGTGCCAAGCAGCAGTGAAGAAGGAGAGGTATGCATTCTGGTAGCACTGGAGCAGCAAGCAGGGGCAGGAAATGGTTCTTCAGCCTCCAGAAGGAACCAGCCCTGCTGCACCTTGATTCCACCCCAAAGGACCATTTTGGACACAGCCTACCAGAACTGTAGCAGAATAAATCTGCCTTGTTTTAAGCCAAGCAGTTTACAATGTTTGTTTCAGTAACTATGGAACAAATGGGAAGATCCCTGAGGGTGCTTCAGCCCGTACCACCACAATGCCCACATCCACCCAATAGCTTATTTAGCTCACTCTTCCGCTGACCTACTGACAGTATCACTTTAATGATGTAAGTTTGGGCTCTGGATAAGGCCTTATCGGCAGCCCTACCTACCAGCTCTGTAAGTGCTGCAAGGGGCCTGAGAGTCTGACACACCAAAGCAGGACTGGTACCATGTAAGGCACATTGTGTGGCCAGCAGAGCTGAGACCTTGCTGGACTCTCAGACCAGCCTGAGGTCCTGCTAGGGTTGACATAGGGTCACAGCTGCAGGCACAGGTGCCCCTTTCTCACCAGGCTGTACCACCCCTCCCCCAGGCTGTGGGGCCACTGAGTGGGTGGCAGCTCTTGTTGCCTGGCAACCCCTTGGTCCCCTACACTGAAGTAGAACAAAGCAGGAGGGGGGAGTGGCCAAAGGCAGGTGGTGGTCCCCACAGCCTTGCCAGAGAGGCCTATCTCACTGAGACGGGTAGGAGAGATAAGCTTTTGGAGAGACCTGGGAAGCTGGCTTCCCTGGGGTTAACTCACCTAGGCATAGCTAGTCAGGGCCAGAAGAGCTGCCCAGATGACCACCAAAGTGAACACCTGTGCTAGGTCCTGGCTGTGCAGTCATGGTTGGTCAGAATATGGGCCCAGCACCCCCACCCGGCCCAGCTCAGCCACACCGTGTATCCTGAACACTCCAGGAAGGGCCTGCAGTGTTTCCAGAACATCAGCCTGGCGCACCCTTGGGTAAGCGTATTGACAATGTCAGATCTGCCCTGCTCTAGCATTTCTGGCATTGGATCAGTCTCTGTCCTCACGTGCTGTGTCTTGTCTGCTACCTCCAGCAATGCCTGAACTAACCAGGAAAAAGCATAATTGATTTGTGTTGTTTTCAGCTGGGAAAAAGTTAGGGGCAGTCCATTCCTCACCACAAGATATTCACAAGCAACAGAATGACACCTGCCATCCCACCGGCACCCCCGTCTGTGGAAGGAAAGAAGCAGAGCCTGGCTAAGGCTCTGCGCCTGCCATAGCCCATGAGATGAAAGGACATGTCAGAGTATCTGTCATTGCCCTGCTAGGGGAAGGGGCTGGAGATCAGCAGACTGAGAACCATGGGTAGTGACTCCTCTGAGTCAAGGCAGGATGAGAGCATAAACTCGGTGACTCTAGTTAATGCTTGGATTCTCAAAGCATGTCACTTTCACATTCTGCTGAGGACAGCCTCAAGTCATGGATGATCACAGAGCCACAAAGTGCTTCCTCTCAAATACCCTTCTCTTAGCTTCTCCTGAGTCTGTAAATCTCCATGAATGTGTGTAGGGAGGTAAAATACACACCATGCAAAATGTACCACCTTAACAATGAATGCACAGGTCAGGGCAGGAGATGCTTCAGGGTCTCAGCCACCACATCGTCCTGCTCCAGAGCTCTCCATCTTCCTGAGAGATACTGTTCCATCCAACACTGACTCCTTACCCCCATCCTGGCCCGTGGCACCAACCACTGTTTGTCTCTGTGAAACTGCTTACTGTAGTTAGGTCACAGAAGAGAAATCATAAAATATTTGCCTTTTTGTAATGTGCATAATGTCCTGAAAGTCCACACCCTTTGTGGCATGTGTTGGATTTCCTTTCCTCTTAAGATGGAGAGTCCTGGAGATGGATGGGGTGACAGCTGTGCAATGACTCCAGTATACCAAATACATTCAACAGTGCCGATGGCAAGTTTTATGTATACTTTATTAAAAGAAAAAAAGTTGATGGAATATGAAACGTTTTCCTTCTGGTAGTTAGTGACAAAACCTCTTATGTACTTAGTACTTCTTGAGTACAGTGAACAGATGCTTCTAAGTGTCCCTCCCTCAAGTCTTTGTTGCAATGGTCTCACAAAGGAACTGTCACCCTGTCCTTCTGACACACAAAAGGAGAATCTCAGCAAGGTGGCATATATGTAGAGTGGACAAAATCCAAGCATGCTATCCTGTCTGCCCTCATTTTCTCAAGACCCCAGAAGTCCATCCTTCCAAGATGCGTCAGACAACATGGCATGGGATATAATATGAGGAACCTGCCACCTGCCACCCCATACCTGAAAAAGCAATGTGCACCCTAAAATCTTTGCACTCAGTTTCCTCGAACACATTGTATCAGCGGACTCTCTGGCAGGAACACTATTCGTTTTTCACAAGAGCTTGTATTCTGACAAATATCGCCAAATTGCTGACAGGCAAGGGGATTCAGTTTACACAGTCATCCTCCTGGAGCTGGGCAGCAGGGAGTATGAGCTATGGCACCTGTTCATCTTAGCCTTGAAACCAAGATCCATCAGGATAATCTGTAGGTATTGGATTACAGGTAAGGAAGAACAGTTTTTCAGACAAGTTCCTGGTGCTTTAAGGTGCCCCAGAGTCCATCGACTGGGCAGAAGGTGACTTACTTAGCTAGGCCCTAGGTACACAGAATTTCCCTGACTTTCAATCTGTCACTTATACATGAGTAAAAGCCTCTACTTTCTCCCTGCCCATAACAGATATTCTCAGTAGAAATGTTTTTTCAGAGCTCTTCCTCCACTGCCAAACAGCTTTCCAAAGGGCCTACAGCAATCTGCACCACCCCCACAAAGGGAACTGGGGGTGTCAAGAGGTGGATGACAGTGAAAGTAGTGGATGACCCTGAGAGGATTTGGGGGGGTTCCCTAGATCTTTTGTTAACTGAGCAGCTCTGACCTCTCCCATTTCCTGGTTCTACAGAAATGACTTTTCCTTCTTGTATACTGCAAGGAATAACTGTTCCTAAGAAGTAGAGTCAGAAACTGCTGAAGACAACTGGAACTGATAGCTCAGTCACAGGACACCCAACAATGAAGACACGCCAATATCCTAAAATTTACACTTTAATTTAACCTGCAGTTTGGGATGCCACACTCTTGGTCAATTTAGTTTCTCTGAATAATTCATTGAGCCCACCAGACAAGCTTGGGGCACAACTTTCAGAAACCTGAAGGTGAAGTTGAGCTGCTCCTGGGAAGGGTCACTGTGTGAAGCCCAGAGTCCCTGCAGGAAAGTCTGGGAGTGCCCAGACAAGCGCCAGAGGACACCAGCGACATCTACACAGCAGTGTTCGCTTTACCACTAATCCCAATACTTCAGACAGCACAAACCCCTGGCTGGTGCACAACCTTCCTTGGCTGCATCCAGAATGTTCCACGATTCACAATGTGCACACGTGCTGCGAGGCTTTCTCGTGATCCCCTTGCTTTGTCATGGAAACTCTGGTAAACCCACGGTGACACTTCTGCCCACGTTTCACATACTGGCATTCTTGGATTAGTAGGCAGGACAGAATGGGGGCCAGAAGTGGAACCTCACAAAGCTAGCCCGGTTTGCTAGTCTGGGAGAATGTGAAGCCTTCATCTCCTTGGCCTGGGATGACCAAATTTAGGGTTAAACCCACAGAATTCTAAACCCTTAAGATACTGAATGTCTTTTTAAAAGCCCCACGTTGTCCACACTTTGCTAGCCGTACTGGCTGTGCTACTGGAGAGATTTGGTGGAAAGCTACTGTGTGCACCAGTCCTAAAACAAACGTAGTTTGGAAACTGATGGTTACCTCAAGACTGTACCTCACTTACTGCCATTTAACCAGTGTGGGTCAAAGGGTGCAAGGCCTTTGGTTCCAACCCCTGCAGGAGAGAGGCATGCACAGCAAAGAACACCCTTACCTTGGCGGCTCCCAATCCTTTCCCTAGGGCACCACCCCCCACCGCCCCTTGCCCCGCCCAGCGCTCACCCGCTCTTCCTCCGCGCGGATGTCTGGCATGGTACTGAGGCAGAGGCCGACGGCCGTGACGGCCACGAAAGCCACGGAGACACAGGCGAAGAGCTTGCCCGCCAGCCCTGAGTGCGGATTGTCCACCACGTCGCGGAGGCGTTGTTGATTTTTTTTGTATCATTCTCTTAGTATCCATTGCATTGATTTCTGGCTAGTCTTTATAATTTCCTCTCTTGTAGGAGCTTTGGGTTTATATTGCTCTTCTTTTACTAGGAGTTTAAGAGTCATCATTTGGTTGTTTATTTGAGCTTGCTCTGTTTTCCTATTGTGGGCATTTACTGCTATGAATTTCCCACATAGAACTGTTTCATTGTAGTCCATAAATTCCTGAATGTCCTACTGGCATTTTCATTTAGTTGTAAAAACTGTCTAATTTCTT